TTGTAATATCCTTGAAGGCAAGGAATGTCTTTTGCCTCTTTTTGTGTCCCTAGTGCTTAGTACAGTGCCCAGTGATGAAATGGAGTGAAGACCAGTCACAAAATGGAGTTGGTTTGGTGTAGGAATCAAGAGAACCAATTAGATCCTATCTCATGAACACTGACCCCATCTTGTTTTGCTACATGGATTCTCCTCCAGCTTGTTCTTTTTCAGCAAATCATCCATGAGAACCTCGATGGCAGGAACCAGCTATTGTTTTGTAAATGTAGGTGGATGCAATTAATCAGCATCTCTCAATTCTTGGAAAAGAAAGACCCCCAAACCTACTCACCTCTCCTCCCCACTGAACCAAAATTTTCTCTCTCTACCTCCCAACTTGGAAAGCCCCTAATCTTTCTTCCAATTAGGAATCAGATCACCTAATTTTGTATCCTGGCTTGTTAATTTTTCTCTTTTAATTAATTGGTCTTATTTGATTAATTATTTTTTATTATATATGATAGTTATTTGCTTATGACATCTTTATTTAAATCTTTTTTTAAACATATTTTCACATTAGTCATGTTGTAAAGAAGAATTAGAACCAATAGGAGGAACCACAAGAAAGAAGAAACAAAATAAAACAGAAGAAAAAAAAGAGCAAATAGTATGCTTCAATCTGCATTCAGACTTTATAGGTCTTTCTCTGGATGTGGATAGCATTTTTCATCATGAATATTTTGGATATATCTTAGATTCTTGCATTTTTGAGAAGAGCTAAGTCTATTAAAGTTAGTCATCCCACAAGGTGGCTGTTACTGTGTACAATGTTCTCTTGGTTCTTCACTTCACTCAGCATCAGTCCATACAAGTCTTTCAAAGTTTTTCTGAAGTCCGCCTGCTCATCATTTCTTATAGCACAATAATATTCCATTATATTCATACACCACAACTTATTCAGCCATTTCCCAATTGATGGGCATCCCCTCAATTTCCAATTCTTTGACACTACAGAAAGAACTGCTATAAATATTTTTTTACATGTGGATCCTTTTCCCATTTTTATGATCTGTTTGGGATACAGCCCTAGAAGTGCTATTGCTGGGTCCAAGGGTATGCACAGTTTGCCCTTTGGGCATAGTTCCAAATTGCTCTCCAAAATTGTTGGATCAGTTCACAACTCCACCAACAATGAATTGGTGTTCCAATTTTCCCACGCCTTCTCCAACATTTATCATTTTCCTGTTTTGTCATCTTAGCCAATCTGATAGGTGTGACATCCTACCTTAGAGGTGTTTTAGTTTGCATTTCTCTAATTATTAGTGATTTAGAGCATTTTTTTATATGACTATTGATAGAATTCATTTCTTCCTCTGAAAACTGTCTATTCATGTACTTTGACCATTTCACATTTGGGGGAAGGTCCTTATTTTTACAAATTTGGATCAGTTCCTTATGTATGTGAGAAATTTTTTTCTTTAACTTTTTTCTTGTTTCCTATTTTTCTTCTCACTTTGGCCTCATTGGTTTTGTTTGTTCAAAAACTTTTTAAGTTTGCATACTATCTGAAGTTTTAAAGGGAAATATTGTTAAAGACAGAGAGATCAGGATAGGCTTCCAGGAAAAGGTGTGAAATATGAGGGGAGCTCTAAAGCTTGGAAGGAAATTAAAAGGTGAAGGTGCATAGGAGAGCTGGAAAAGAGGATTCTAAGCCTGAGGAATAGCAGGAATAAAGGCATGGAGAGAGGTGGGCAAATGGCATGATTTTTAGCAGAAAAATGTCTCCATTTCTCTGGAACATAGTGTGTGTGTGTGTGTGTGTGTGTGTGTGTGGTGGTAATCTGAGAAGGAAAGGGAGAATAGCATCATATTGGGGAAGTCTTTGAATTTCAGGTAAAATTTGGACTTCACTTAGTAGGCAATAGGAAAGTGCTGAACATCTTTGAAGAAAGGAGTAACATGATAAGATCTAGGTATGTGCAGGAAAGATTATTCTGGTTATAATATGAAAAATGTACTAGACAGAAACAAGATCATAGATCTAACACAGGAATGGACCTTCAAAGTCATCTTGTCCAACCCCTTCATTTTACTGATGAGGAAACAGAGAGGCTTAGAAAGGTTAACTGACTTGCCTAGGTTCACATAGATAGTTAGAGGAGCTAGGATTTGAATGAATGAGGGTCCTTTGATTCCAAAGGCAATACTCTTTCCACTTTACCAAGCTACCACCAGTGGAGAGAATGGAAGTGGGAAGACCCACTGGGAAGTAAGAAGACTTTCATTAGGATAGTAATGAAAGCCTGAATTAGAATAAAGATAATTAAAATAGAGATGAGATGATGAAAGTTATGGAACTGGGGCAAATGTGTGGATGCAGCTTATAGAGTTCCAGGCCTAGAGTCAGGAAGACTCATCCTCCTGAGTTGAAATCTGGCCTCAGAGATTTACTAACTGTGACCCTGAGGAAGTCACTTAATCCTGTTTACCTCAGTTTTCTCATCTGTAAAATGAGCTGGAGAAGGAAATGTCAAACCACTCCAGTATCTTTGCCAAGAAAACCCCAAATGGGGTTGGACATGATTGAACAACAACAAAAGCAAAAGGGGGGCAGGAAAAGTCCAAGATGATCTGAAGGTTTTGAATACAGGAGAGTGAGTGGATCATGGTGAGCCCCTTGTCCAATCTTTAACTGCACCTTTCAATCCTTACCCCTACAACCTCCCCCAGGACTACCTTGGGGACATTTTTTCTGGAAGCGATTTTCTGTCTTCAGTAAATTCAATCCATTTTTGTAAAATTTACTAAGTTCCTACTACATGTAATGTACTGGTCTTGGTATTAGTGGTTACAAAAACAAGAATGAGAAGTAAAATTAATTTGTCCTGTGTTCTCTTAGAAGCCACCTGCTACCACTGACTGCCAAGCATTGGTCTGGATCAGGACTCTTCACTTTAGTAACATGTCACCCTGTCTGATCTCTCTTGAGAAAAAGCATACTAGTAGGGGGTGGAGTCATACATCTGATTTTTAATTCCATTTCATAATCCTTTTCCAAGTGATGCATATTCTTCACTTGTCAATCATTTTTTCCCACGGCAAATGTTTTCTCAGAATCCAAGTACATTTTATTCACTATTTGATTTCCTTCCTTCTTTCCTTCTTTCTTTCTTCCTTTTTTTTTAAACATTTATTCAGTCATGTTATCCAAGATGTGATACAAACTGACAGGCACAATTTTCGTTTCATGCCTCTATGCTGACTGCCCTTTATTAAATTACTGTAATCTTGCCTAACACTGTATTTGCATTTTCATTACTTTTCCTACTGTCAGGTTAACAGACCTGTAGTTTTCTTTGCACTTTCCCTGTGAAACATCAGAATTCATTAGTCTCCTTCAGGAGTTTTCATCGCAAAACTTGAAAAATGAAACAAATACATTTGTAGAGAAATAGAAACTTTCTAGGCCTCTAGCTTAAAACCATTTTTTGCATATGGTTTTATATAAATTTACTCTGAGACCAGAAAACCATAACTCCAAAGAAATAAATTAATTACAGCAACCTATAGTAATTGCATTTAAGTTCTTCTTTGACCACTTTTTTCTTTCCCCTCTATCCTCAGCTTCCTTATTACCATATATACCGCAAGGGAAGGCCTAGCCATCCTGTGGAATCCTGATACAAGAGATTGGCCTAAGATCCATAGTTTCCCAAAGTGGAAGATACTGTCGCCTGGGGGTGCTGGAACGATATAGGGGGGCAGTAGTAATTTGAAATGACACAAATTAAAAAAAAAAGAATTGTTAAAGGTTTAAAGAAAGTAAATTTCCAAGGGGTCACTGAGTAATTTTTTTTAAAGGGGGCAGTAGGCCAAACAAGTTTGGGAACTCTAGGAAATACACACTTCAGGCTCTTTGGGTACCATACTAAAAATTCGCTGTTCAGATGTTATAGTATCATAGCATCAATGTTTATTATTAATTATTATAATTAGAAATCTAGAGAGTTTATTTTAAGAAATTATGTTAGTGTGGAACAACTAGGTGGCACAGTGGATAGAGCACTGGCCCTGGAGTCAGGAGGACCTGAGTTCAAATCTGGCCTCAGACACTTACTAGCTGTTGGACCCTGGGCAAGTCACTTAATCCTGATTGCCTCCAAAAAAAGAAAGGAAAAGGAAAGAAATTACATTTGTGTGGCAGTATATGATAATGGATAGAGGGCTAACTTTGGAGTTAGGAAGATTTTGCTTAGGGCAGAGAGCTACTCTGCCCTAAACAATGCTCTAAGATAATAAGTTTCAGGTGAGTTTCTAATCTGAATTGATGAAAGAAATCTGTGAACAAAACAAATTAAATTAGAACTAATTTTCATCTGTTATCTACATTGGGGCTTCAGTTTGACCCTCTTGGTCCTTTCCCATCCTTTCTTTCCTAATGCACAATGTTGATTAATACCTGTCCTCAAAGGAACCAGAGCCAAGCTTCCTGGCTATGCCATCCATTTAGAGATGTACCAGAGACAAAACACATGAACTGCAGCACGACCAGCCTTCACCATTGAATGCATTACCTTGGAGTTAGAGCCCCCAAATCTTGGAGTCTATAAGTCTTTGTTTTCCAGGTGAAGAAATTGAGGCCCAGGGAAGTTGTGACAACCAAAAGTCACACAGCTAATTAGAAGCAGTGCTAGGGCTATAACCAGGGGTTCTTGGCTCTTAATCTAGGGCTCTAGCCAGTGGTTCACCTTCCTTCTCTTCTCATGTCTACACGTGATGCATTGGGCACCATGTTCCAAGTTAAGCCAACAAGATAATTTGTTTAATTAGTTACACTGCCTAGAAGAACAACAACAATGACAATTTACTTCTGTTTTCCAGTGGAGGTGACTTAATTATCAACCAATATCATAACTTCCTCTTGACCAGTCTAGTTTCAGTGCACCATTTTCTCTTAAGTAAAAAATGCTATAAAATCATCTTGTGTTGTCCTAATTGGTGTGACTTATTTATCTCTGCAGGGTCCTGAGGATTTACTATGTAACCAAAAAGTGGGTGTACCCTATATTTGCTCAGCTCAGTCCAGAAGGCTTAGCAGCCTTCTTCTCTGTCAGCTATGTCCTCCTCGCCTGCATCTACCTCCTTGGAGAGCGCTTTAACCAGCTAATTTGGGGTAAGTAATATCTCTTGTGTCTATGGAACTCCAACATGAAACATCATTTTGTCCCCCTTATCCCATCCCCAGTTGCAACACATGGGAAAATCACTGCAATTCAATAGACCTGGAAAGGCCATACATTTAGAGTGGGAAGAAGCTTTAGAAAGTACTAAGTCCCATACTCACTTTACAGATAAGAAAACTGAGATCCAGAGAGGTTAAGCCCAAGATCACCTGATGAGTAAATAGCAGAAGCAGGATCTATAGCATTTCCTCTCATTACAAATCCGGCATTTTTTCTCCTGTATGAGCCCAGTGTCTCTTAATGTACTTGTTTAGAGGTCTCAGCTCAGGACAAGTTATGGTTCATGACAACAATGGAAAGGTGAAGGAACTGGGAGTGAGGTGGTGAGAGAAGAGGACTCTAGCAAATTCCCAGAAGCTACAATCTTAATTCCACTCTTCCATGCTGCAGCAATCCCCCTCAGCTTCAAGTATTAAATAGTTTTGTTTAGTGAAAAGCCAAGTTATAGAAAGAGAGGTGCTTTCTACCCCAGCTGAGAACATGGGATCAGGATTTCCCTGTTCAAGGTGAGATGCTCTTCTGGGCAGATTCCTCCTCACACAATATGAACATGGTCTCTTCTCTTTTTGCCTGATGGCCACATTAGCTGACTCAGCCACTGGAAGGGTTTGCTTATCAGGGCCAGCATTCCCACCTCTCATATCACTTGAATCTAGAAGGAAGTTGTAGAGCCACAAATCCACTGGTTCCCTGCCCACACCCTACCCAACCCTATAACTGTAGGGTTTTTCCCTCCCTGGTTCTAGCCACCTCCATGTCTCTTCAACTGACAAGGTTCCCTAAATTCATAGATGGGCCTACTGGAGATGACAAAAGCCCTGCCCCTATTCTCTAAAAATAGGACATAAGTACTCTTTTAAACATGTAATAGTATTTTCTTTTTATTTAAAACTATTAAATATCATAAGGAGATATAATTGGATGGTTATAATAGTAATCCAAGGGGAACTATACAATACTAGAGGTCTTTTCAGGGAAACTGGTTTTCCAGGAATACCTAGATCTTGTACTTCCTTAGCTCCCCCTTTCTTTGTCTGGATGACCCTCTAATTTAGACAGACCTCATTTTCAAAATCAGCCTAACTGCTGCTTGAGCTAGAGGTTTTCTATGTTTTGGGTTTCTACTCAGTGGATTCCAACTGGTAAAAAAGCAGGTGTTTCAGCTATACCATAAATCCACTTTTCCAGTTCTTCACTTTAAATGTGGAAAGATCCCTAATACTCCCTTTCTATGGTACTCTCCAAAAGAGGTTTTCTTCACTTTTTGCTACTTACCTCCCTTGAGAGAAAAGCCTTTTTTCCCCTTTCTGTCTTCCCCAAGTATTCTTTCCTTGGGTTTCAGGACACAAGAAATTTATTGTTATTCTCCTTATCCCCTCTGGAGATGTGGAGGCTCTGACCTGTTAGTAGATCCTTTTTCTCTCTCCTGGGTGATTTGAAACCATTTACAGTATCTGGGCCCTGCCCTTTGTTTTCAAGTTGGTTTCTCTTTTTAAATTTTGGTTCTAGGTTGGCATTTGGACTCCTCCTCCATGTAGTCTTTGTATTTTGTTTTGTTTTGTTTTGTTTTGGTCACATTGTAGAGCATTTGCTTAATTTTAAATTAATTTTTTTTTTCAATAAATGAAAATTGGTTTTCTCTCCTTCCTAACCAATACCCATACTGCCACTATTGGGTAAAAAATAAATAAATAAATAAAACCCTTATAACAAATGTGCAGAGTCAAAAAATTTTTTTTTAAAATTATGTCTCATTCAATACCCTGAGTCCATCACCTCTCTTTCAGGAGGGCAGCAGACTTCTCATTTGTCATCTGAAATTGTGATTGGTGTTGGCATTATTCATAGTCCTTCTGGAAGCCAGAAGGTCTTGGACTCTACTTCATGACAACTTTTGTCTGGTCCCCTAGCCAGATTGAGCCTCTCTTCTTGTTCAAGATGGATGCTATTTCAGGTCGTTTCTGGGCTTCACTAGTTCAGTCTCTCCTTTTGCTTCATCCCACTCTGAGCCTCAGCTTGTTGCTATGGCTCTTGTCCCTCCATTGAGGAATTGTTTTCTATAATCCAGGTTCTATAGTAAGAAAAAATAATGTGACACTGAGTACATAACTCCAGACATATTGCTATCTATCCCTTATTCCCCATTAAAGACAGAATCTAGTACCTCAGGAGGATGACTTGATCTTTATACTTCTGTTACATTGACTTTCAATTTATTTTGGTATGTTTTTTTTTCTATTTACATTGTTGTAGTTACTGTACGTATTGTTTTTTGACACCGCTTACTTCACTTTGTATCAGTTCATGCAGATCTTTTCATGCTTTTCTGTATTATCACATACATTTCTTATAGCACAGGAATATTCCATCACATTTATATACCAAACTTTATTTAGCCATTCTCCAATTGATGAGTGTATATGTATGTGTGCATATATGTATATATGTATATATATGTATATACATATATATGTGTGTGTGTATATATACATATACATACACACACATATATATGTATATATATAATTGTTTACCTGTCTTGGATGCCATTATCAGAGAAATTTGATACAAATATTTTTTCCCTTTCAAACACTTCTCTTCTTATTCTAGCTATATTAATTTTGTCTATGCAGAAGATTTTCAGTTTCAAGTATTCAAAGTTATCTATTTTATCTTTTGTAATTGCCTCTATCTCTAGTTTGGTTAAGAATTCATCTCCCATCAGATGAAAGGTATATGATCTGTTTCTCTTCAAAAAATTTTAATAGTGTGATCTTTAATTTTAATATTAAGGTCATATATCCATTTAGATTGTATTGTGGAATATTGGTGTAAAGTGTTTGTCTAAGCCTAATTTCTGACATACTACTTCTCAGTTTTCCCAGAAATTTTCATCAGATAAGGAGGTCTTTTCCTAGGTAATTTATATTTTCCATTTTATCAAACACTGGGCTATTAAGTTTCTAATTCTATTCTATTCTAAGTTCCACTGTTTCTGATTATCCCTTGTTTAGATTTTGATGACTGCTGCTTTATAATATACTTTGAGATCTAGAAGTCCTACTGCCCTTTTGTCCCTACTTCTTTTTGTCATTTTCCTTGACATTCTAGATATTTTGATTTTCCAAATGAATTTTATTATTATTTTATCAAGTTCTATAAAGCATCCCTCTGATAATTTGGTATGGCATTTAAAGAGTAAATTAATTTTGTGATATTGTGATATTTATTATATTGACACAACCTCACCATGAGGACTGAACATTCTTTCAGCTATTTAGATTGTTCTTTATTTAAGGAGTGCTTTGTAATTGAATACATAGAAGTCTTTTGTGTGTTTTGATAGGTTGATCCCCAGATGTTTTATGTATTTTGTGGTTATTTGGAATGGAAGTTCCTTTCTAGCATTGCTACTTGTGTTTTGTGATTATCATATAGAAATGATATTGATTTGAGGGGATTTATTTTGTAGTTTGCAAGTTTGCTGAAGCTGTTAATTGTCTCAATTAGTATCTTTGCTGATTCCCTTTTCATGTATACTATCATATCATCAACAAAGATGGACAATTTTATTTCCTACTTACCTATTTTTATGCCTTTAATTTCATTCTCTTGTCTTATTGCTATTGTTAGTATTTTAGGAACTATATCAAATAATTGTGAAGAGAGTGGGCATCTTGCTTCCTTCTTGCATTTATTGGGAAAGGTTCTGATGTATTCTTATTGTACATGATGCTTACTTTTGCTTTTAGATAGATGCTTTTTTATGATTTTTTTTTAAACTCTATGCCTATACTTTGTAGGGCTTTTAGCATAAAAAAGTATGGTATTTTGTCAAAAGTTTTTCTGTATATAGAGATGACTATGTCATTTGTGATGGTTTGCTTTTTAATATGATTAATTATTCTGGTAGTTTTCCTAATTTTGAAGCATCCTTGCATTCCTGGTATAAATCTCACTTGCTCAAAATGAATAATTTCTTAGATAAATTGCTGTAATCTGTTTGACAGGATTTTGTTCAAAATTTTTGAGTCAAAGTTCATGAATGATGTTGGTCTATAGTTTTCTTTCTATGTTTTATCTTTTCCTGGTTTAGGTATTAGAACTATATTTGTCTTGCAAAAGGATTCTAGTAGGTTTTCTTTCTCAATTTTTGGAAATAATTTGTGAATTGTGGGTATTAATGGTTCTCTAAAAATCTGAGGGAATTCTGTGACTACAACAAGACCAAGAGTTTGTTTTGTTTAATTTTTTCCCTCTCTTTAGAAATAGATCTATTTTGTTTTCTGAAATTGGATTGTTTAATACTCCTACATGGTCTTTTTATAGTTTGCATATTTTACATTTTTAATTGTGTTCCTCTATTTCTTTTGTATTCTCAGGTTTGTTAGCATATAACTGTGCACAATATGTTCTAATTATTCTTTTTATTTTTTTACAATTTTATTTCATCATGTTTATTAGTTATTTTTTGCTCTCTTACTTTTAATCAGATTAGTTAAGAGTTTACCAATTTTATTGGTCTTTTCAAAGAACTAGCTTTATTTTAATTTATCAATTCTATGTTCATTTCCAATTTATCTATTTTACCTCTTGTTTTTAATATCTTCCTTTTGTGCATATTTTAGATTTATTTATATGCTTTCTAATTTTTAATGCATATTCAGTTCTTTAATCCTCTTTTTCTATCTTGTAAATTTATGTTCATAAGGATATGCTTTCCATTGCTACCACCACCCCTGCTTTCACTACATCCCAGAAATTTTAGCATGTTTCATCATTACCATTTTCTTTTACATTTTTATTAATTTCTTCTGTAATTTGTTCTTTGATTCATTCATTATATAGGATTTTATTGTCCAGTCTCCATTTAGTTCTGTATCTTTTGTTTGTGGTCTTAGGATTGTTTTTATTGTGTTATAATCTATGA